AGTAGGCCTACTGCAAGGTCAAAAGACTGGCAAACACTTTGTCACAATAATGTAAAAAAAAAAAACAGTAAAGTACTTCATAATTATATCATTAATCATAGTTGAGAGAAAAAAAGACAATGCAAAAACACAAAAATGCACTGCAACTGGTACACAGTATCAAGGCTGATATAATCATGTGTACAGCACTATTAGTGCTCGTGTCTCTGTTTATTTCACACATTCACGCACTGTTCAGTTTTACAGATGTCGGGACACTTAGCTGAAGGCCCCTGACAGATGGTATAGATAACTATGGTTTAATGTTTTGTATGCATTTAAACTGTATGCTGTGAGACATTTTATTCACGCACTGTTCAGTTTTACAGATGTCGGGACATAGCTGAAGGCCCCTGACAGATGGTATAGATAACTATGGTTTAATGTTTTGTATGCATTTAAACTGTATGCTGTGAGACATTTCCAGTGTGGTGCATGAAATCATATTTACCACCACATAAAACAGACTGCAATGGCAAAGCATTTGCAGATGCACAAGGGAGAAGCTTGTCCTGTTATGATATACCATGCAAGGTCCCTATGTACTTTCTTTGCTTTGATATTTTATAGGATGTAGCAGATAGTAAAAGTCCGATTTTGTTTTAAATTATACTATATTATTATGATAGATGTCTTCAGTGTTGTACCTGAAAAGAGCAAGACCAGCAAAATTTGGTGTTCCTTTCGAATCGGGACACAAAAAAATCTTTTGACTTGTTTCATATGCCTTTGTATGTAATTTTCTCAATGTTTTACACTGTCATGCAGGGATGGGCAGTATGTCTTCTGTTCTGTTAACCACAGACCTAATTTCAGACATTTAATCAAAAGCCTGTTCAGAAAAACCCACTGACATCAAGACAAACTGGAACTGGAAGTGCTAAAAAGCTAACTTGAATAAAACAAAAACACATGGAAAAAGGGGACCTACTGTATACTGTTTTGTATTTATCTTTTGTATTTTACTATTTTGTACATTCATAATGTGAGCTGCAGCTGTACAACTCCATTCAGCATTGGGTGAGCAGCTTTTCTGGAATAAGATAAGGTGCGGATGTCATGGTCAGATGTACTTGTTGATTAAAGTTAAAATAGTGCATCATTCAGATTTGCCTTCATTTAACATGAAAGAATAAAAGAGCACCGACAAGGGAAAAATAGCGTTAGTCAATCAGTTTTGATAGTTAATCGGTTGTTTTTATTGGAATTATTGGAATGTTGGAGTGGAAAAAGAAGCATGGACGAATGAGTAATAGAATGTGATGTGCTTGGTACAGTTGCACTTATTATAAGTGCAGTATGCCTCGAAAGGAAATTCAAATTCACACTTGCATGTTGGCAGGCAGTTTTTTGTATGCGGGCTCCAAGACGAAGTGGAGCACCGACAACTGTGAATGTGCGATTAGCCACTGTAGGAAATAACGAGAACAATAACAACGTGTAACAAATGATAAAACTGTTTGCACTACAAACCAGGGTGTTCATAATTAAGATAATATGCAGTAGTCAACATTTAAAGTGGATCAAAAAAGTTCATCAAAGTTGTCCTAAGACAAGAATGCATTTTGGGTTTAGGTTTTAGGACAACTTTGATGAAAGGTTTTGATCCACATCAAATGTTGATATTAAAATAATTTGGTAAGACACACCAGTTTGCAGTCTGCATATTCTCCAAACCATCAGAAAGCAGTGGTGAGAAGAGGTTGCAGAGTAGTTTGTCAAACAATCGTTTCATGAGAAGTTTGTGAATAAATGGATTTCTGATGAGGTTGTGGATCATTTTGGATGTAAAAATGTTTTTGAGTACTTCTTAAACCTACACAAATGAATCAAAGAATCATGTAAAACCCAGTAAACTTGAGAATATGACTTGTGACATTAGAACAAAACATATGAATATGATAACATATGTATAACAGTAAACGGAACAATACTCTCTTATATATGTTTTTTTTTATTCATTAAACATTTTCTTTTTTTAATGTTTGTATTAAACACAGACCATTATTTTATTCATTATTTGAAGGCTCATTTTGTAAATGTAAGCATTTTAAATTTTAGACAAGTGCAAACTTGGTACTTTATGACAAATTTGTCACATTTACAAAATCAGGTGATTGTGTTCACCCGGCTATGCAAATGTTTGTTTACAAAAAGAATTAGGTTAATCACTGTCTGTCGCAATCAGGTTAGTGTAGTGATTGTGTGCATTTGTGAAGACACTGATGAATGGGACACTACATAAAATGTAAAAAAAAAAAACATTTGAGCAAATAGTGTTGAATGCTATAGAAATTAATTCTATTTTTTTATTTTAAAAAATTATATACAACAAAAACTTAACATGAAATAAATATAAAAAAGTAGTTTTTGTATTTCCTACAGGGGAGGGGAAGGGAAGAGGTATGTAAAATGAAAACAAAAGTTTCTAAGCGGTTGAACAATTTATTTATTTATTTATTTATTTTTTTTGTATTCAGAATAGGTCCAGACAGATTTCAGCCTATACAGTTACCTGCACTGGATGGCCAATTTCACATGTATTTTGGGTATTTTCAAAATACTGTATTTGTATTTAAATACATTTTTTCCACACATTATTTTATATTTGTATTTAAATACATCTTTCCACACAGTATTTTGTATTTTTATTTTAAAATACATTTTCATGTCATGTGTGTCATCTGAAGCCTTCTACAGACTGTGCGACTTCAGCAGTCTTGTAAGATCGTTACAAATCACACTGTGTGACATAGATCTAATAAACTTGGGTACGACATGTAGACTGTACAATGATGACATGTATTAAATTGCAAGTTAATATATAAGAATAAAACATCATCATGCGTACTGAAAAAAAAAGCAGAGGAGCTGGCGGAGGCAGATGATAAATTCTTTGGAATCCCACATACGGGATTCCTTTTAGGGCTTTCAGCCTCCATGGCATTTATGTTTTATCACTATGTCACATTGATCAATACGTCCTTTCATGTTGCATTTTTATTAGTAGATGTTGGTCATAGCAGCAAACACTGTGAGATGGTCATCCTATTTCTGACACTGTTAGAAAATGATCACATACTATCTTTGGTTGCAGGACCATGACAACGGCTGTCTCTCACAGTATGACGCAGGACCACCGTTTAGGAGCCATGACGAAAGAAATGACCACAATTGTTTCATGATGGTCATCTTTTATCTGGGACAGCCCAAAATCATATACAATGTATACTGGGCATTACAAACAATGCAAAACTTGCAGATGAATAATAGCACATGCTTCCCGTTTTGTAAGAATTGGTGTGCCGCTATACTATGCTGAAGGTGCCACATCAAAGTGAAAGTTGCGAGACTTCGGTGTCACCATTACTAAGCTTCTGACAGTTCTATATTTTAAAAAAAATTGCCCTTAAGGATTGAGTTATGACGGTCAAGGTGATGACGTTTAATGTTCCCGACAACCTCTGTAGTCTCATTGACCACAGCTTTTTAAAAAATCACAAGGGCCTATTACTAATGTATTTTATGTTATAGAATTAAACATGAAAATATATTGAGGTTCTGTTAACCACAGACCTAATTTCAGACATTTATTCAAAATCCTGTTAAAAAAAACCCCACTGACATCAAGACAAACTGGAACTGGAAGTGCTAAAAAGCTTACTTGAATAAAACAAGAACACATGGAAAAAGGGGACCTACTGTACACTGTCTCATAATATAATTCATAATAGTATTATCTAGATGCATCCATTTTAAATAAGATATATTTTCTGTGAGCATACCTCAATGAACACAACGGATGAGTCACTGTGGCACATTCAATTTACATTTACTGCATGTTTCATCGACTTACAGTAAAGCACAGATATAATGTAAGTGCCCATTTCTACTCTCAGTATCAAAGTATACTTGCTATAATCTTAGGTTTCAGAAGTCAAAGAGAACATCAAAACTCAACAGTACATGCATATACACTGGTTGTTTATGCCTTCCTTTATAAAAGTGGATAATAAAAAAGCACTTAGAAAAAGAGTTGACCAACGAGAAGAATCAAACCCACAAATTACTATATTTGCCAGTTAGTGACTGACAATTATGCATGCTGCTAATATGACAACAGTGGCGTGCACAGGCCTCCGCAGGGGCGTGTTTTGGGGGTTCAAGGGGCAGGGGCAGGGGCTTGAACCTCCGCCCCCCCACCCATTCCCCATACACACCACTGTATGACAATATAATAGTGTTTTAGTTGCAATAACAATCCAACATATATCTATGCAAACTAAGTGCCTAATAATAGCAAAATAGATATATGCCATACCATAGAAATGACTGTCTGTATTTAAAATAATTCAGCCTGTTTTAAAGGTCCTCATGCTTTGTAGGTTTTTAACTGTCCTTTATTTGCCCAAGTACCAGTGGTTTTGGACTTTATATTGTTTATTTTATTAACTGCTGGCACTTCACAGCAGCTGTTGTGTTGCTTTAAAAGTATTTTTTGTTGTTGTCCAAAAGTGCAATTAATTAATTAATTATTTAATGCATACAACTTTTTAATTAGCGAATAATTACTGAGTGCACATAAATTGACATAGGCCATAAAACAGAGATCCAAGTGTTAACCCAACATATAAATTATTAACTGAAGTCAATTGTGCAAGTCACTTAATTATTCAGAGACGCACAATTATCCTAATTCAGTCATTCCAAATGCACGAGAGAGGTCATCTTATCTCCTAGAGAAACTAACTGTAAATACATTCTTATCGCGCCTATTCTACATTCAAGCTGGTCACAAAGTTCACTAGTATGTTAACATAGCTATCATTTATTTGTAGCTAAAGCAAGAATAATCGGTAGGTTCGTCTATTTGTAAAAACAGTGCGCTCTGAGTAAAAAGCAGAGCTGAGCTTGAGGAACCGCCCTAAAGCCGGTGTGGAAACGTGATCTAACAGGCGGCTGAGCATCTCGTGCTCGCTCATTCGCACTGCAGACTCTCGCGCAGGCTTTTCTGATCTAAGTGAGGAGCTACGACTAATTACCCTTAGGCCCCAAGGGCAAAGAGTCATATATATACATCATCTACTGCCAATATTTAATATCACTGTAATCCCGGTGCCATTTCGGGCTTTCAACATGGGGAAAAAGCTCTCGACATGGACGCTTCTAGTGGTCTTTTCTCTGCTGGTAGTGAAAGGTAAGCGCTGAGCCCCTCTTTGTTGAACCCGGTGCCATGCCTACTTCATCATTTTTGTCGGCACCGTAGGCAAGCATTGATTTAAAGCATTAAGACTTTGACTTTAATGTAGCCTCCATTTTTATGGGGAACACGGGGCGCAGGAATCACATAAATCACCGTGTTTGAGTTGCGTTTTAACATCTGTCTGGGTCTGGATCGAGCCTTTGCTACGGCGCTGTGCATGACATACCGAGGCTCAACAAATGATGTTTATCTAAATACGAAGAATTAAATTGAATTAAACATTTTAGATCTGTCCGTTAAGCATGTTAATGAGAATGAGAAGAATATTACTGTTACTGAATATTAAAAGGGCATCACTAATATTAATCTCTTGTGTTATTTTGTTTCCCCTTGCGCAAATATGTATTTAGGACTATTTAGGATATTGCTGTGAATAAATTTGGATCTTTTTTTGAACAACGTGTATCACGTATATTTGTATTTTGATGATGTTTCGCTTATTTCATCGTCATTTATTTTAAGTTCAAATTATATTAATATTATGCAAACTTAACAGAAAAGTAAATGCTTCGTTTACGTTATCTAACGGCATTAATCATGTTTTATATCTGGGCTTGAAAGAAAATCAAAACAGTACTGTTCAGTACGGCTTGAAATTAAATATATTAACAGAACAGTATTTTCACATAGTCTCCTCATCCTAGCACGGTACAGGTAGACTACGTTGGGAGGCTTGGAGTCAGAGCGCATGCGCATACGAAGCCACAATGCGCCCAGGTACACCATAGGAGTTTGGAATTTTTTGGAGACTGCGGAAGATAGGAAGATACCATTATTTTATGACAGGGGGTTATGGTCCCCCTCTGTTGGTGTGAGGCACACACGAGTTCAATGTCAAAGATTCCATGCTTGTATGAGCAAAATCATGTAGGCGTATGAAAAACAATGACATCCTTTTCTGAAAAAGGATGCTGTTTAGAAATACTGTTTAGAAGCACGGATGGTATATTGTATAAAAATCCCCTTACCTAACCCACCATTGAAATGAATGAGGCAAGCAAGCATCTGCAGTTCTGGCAGAGGTAAACTGCTCCTCCCCTTTTCCTGTCAGCCACACCCAGCTGTTGTATATGTAATTAGATACACGTTTACACTCCCTTACCTGAAAACCTATTGTGTATTTATGAGCATATAGTTTTACCACCGTTTTAGGTGTTAGGTTCATGTTTTGAAATGCTTTCATTTTAATTCCAATATATTTGTCAGTAATTTATCAATATCTGAATAACCAATGAAACCCAAAATTAAAACATATTAATTAATGTACTGTATTTAAGCCCATAGGTATCTATTGTGAATGGGAAAAACATCAGATAGATTAACTGCTGTCACATGATGTATTGATCACATAACAGTGTGCCAATGCTGAGCTGGCTTTGGCAGCGCTGCACGAATAGCTGTTGCTAACTTTTAGCTAAACCTATTGAGCATTAAAACAACATATTACTGAACAAGGGAAAAAAAGGCAGAAGAGGCAGGCAGAAAGAAAGAGGAATTTATAAAAATACAGTGGGATTGACAGATTAAAAGAGACATATAAAGAAATAGCTAGGCCTGGGCGATAAAACGGTATCGATATTTATCAACGGTACACCTTCTTCGATATCGATAGAAAAATTGTTCGATATAGCGCACGATATAGGCATGTACTATGAGTGACGCAGACAGCACACACAAACACGAACACATTTTTGAATAAAAAATGAATATTAGTCGAATTTAAAATAAACATTTGCATTTGAATGTTAGGTGTGCATCAGGGAGCATCATCAGTGGCGCGCGAGATGTGGTGATGATGTAAGTGACGTTGCATTTTAAAGGGGTCATATGATGCTGCTAAAAAGAACATTATTTTTGTGTATTTGGTGTAATGAAATGTGTTTATGCGGTTTAAAGTTCAAAAAACACATTATTTTCCACATACTGTACATTATTGTTTCTCCTCTATGCCCCGCCTTTCTGAAACGCGTCGATTAGCTCATCGGTCTGAAAAGTGAGGTGTGCTGTGATTGGCCGAATACCTCAAGCGTGAGACGGAAATGTTACGCCCCTCACATACTGTTGATGCCGTGTCCGGCCGGAGCGACGAGACATAAACATTAAAACCCATTACAAACGAGGCATTTGTTGCATCCAGTGGGGACATAATTACGGATTATAATGACTTATACTGTCTTTTTACGCATTGCAGATCTTGAATGGGTTAAAACCGAAACCAAGCCATTCACACAGAACGCATATTCAGCGCATTTTTTAGACGGACAAATATGACTGCTGCACTTGCGTCTCACAGAAGAGATGTATAGAAAGCCATTCAAAGTTAAAACAGTTTAAACTTTTAGAAAACGTCACGAATTTGTGGAGGTTTATTCCTTTTCACTGCGTCTCATATGTTTTTAAATGCAGTCTGTGTGAATGGCGCTTCAATTCGTAGAGATAGAGATAGAGTTTTTGTGTTTGATTGTTAAAACAAAAGTCTCAATAAATTGTGTTAATTATAAATACAGTGGTTAAATTTAAACATTTTTTTCTATTGCTTTTTGTTTTAAAAAAGGTTATAAAAAATGTCAATAATTATCGATACCAAACGATATGAAACATTATATCGTTGATCAATTTTTTTGCTATATCGCCCAGCCCTAGAAATAGCTATAGAAGTTTAAGACTGACGCCAGTTGAGTGTTGCACCACATTATCTGTGACCCAGTGCTAAAAATATATGGCAGACATTCATTGCATAAGACATGGAGAGTTGAGTCTGGCTTATTACAGAAGAAACCATTTAGAAATGTACTACCAAAAATGATACATGGGGAAAGAATCTTTGCAGAAACATCTTTGTTGTGTAGTACATGAGCACAAAAGATTCTTTGTCCCTTTGTGCTTGAAGAATGCATTTGTAAGCTGTCATTTTCTTGCCTTTGTTAAAATCCAGGAATGCAGCGGCGCTACTGTGGAATTTGTTTTATAAAGAGTCTTTAGTAAAGCTGGGCTTCTGATCCAGTTTTAGCATTAGCATCCATCCATCATCTGAGATTTTTATTATGGTACTGTTACGGGGCTGACAAGACGTGAGACATGCGGATCCATGTGCAAGCTTTATTAAGCAGAGAGATTAGAAACACAGGCAGGGTTGACCAATGGCAAAACAGGTATATGGCGGGCAAGACACAAGAATAATCCTAGGGCTAGCGAAGGTCAACGAACGGCACGCTCTGGTGCGGCCGCCATTTCACGGGCGGGTTGCATCACCGGAGTAGCGATCAGTGAACTTGAATATCCCGGGTACCGCATACTACCAGTATTGCAGTCAAATAAGAATATTACAGGCCTTGGATGATCTGCGTAAACAAAATCATGCATTTATATGTAAGCAATAAGGTACGAGACACATCACATACACATCAACGTATCTCTCATATGAGAAGACTTTCTTTGATAGCAGAAAGGGAGTGGCCTCAAAATTAAAGGTGAATGACCTAACAACACCAGCAGGGGTCTTTTACAGTTTATTACATAAATAATAAAGTTAATTTAGCTGAAATACATAATACATGGAACAGTTCTATATTGATTGTTTATGTTGCTAAGGGTGTTGCACAGTGGTACACAGAACTGCTGAGTGAAGCGGTCATAGCCGTGCTTTATCGTGAAAATAACACAGCTGTTGACCAATCAGAATCAAGGTCTGAAACGAACCGTTTTATAATTATTTTTATGTACATGTGTAGTGTGAGTTCAGGCATGATTTACATAAATACAAATTACATGCTCGTTCATGATTTGAATACTCATTTAGTGTTTGCATATGAGCTGCACAAATATTTTGTGAATGTTTCCTATTTTGTGTGTTTTGAAGGAATAAGTCAGGATCTGGACTTGGCAGATGCGTTTGACGAAGATGAACCAAGTGAGTATGACAATTATAATGATGACAGCAGTATAGGGATTTGTAACACTGTACAAAATTTTTTTTATTTTTACAGAAAAACCTGTGGTTTGCAGAACAATTCTGTAAAAATACAGCGAAGTGTAAACATTTACAAAACAACTAAATTTTAGTTTAAAACTGTAATTTACAAAAAAATGTAATGTTCAAAATGTTCACTGTAAACTATAAGATTACTTGTTCTTTTTCACTTCCATTGTACATTTAACAGTATTTTACTGTAAAATTACATTAATTGTAAGGTTAGATCTATTACAGTTTTTCACCGTAGCGAGTTAACTTACCAGTAACCAATTAACAGGTTTTTACTGTAGCAATTTTATTCTGCTACACTATATACAAAAATATTTTTAGTGTAGTGTCAGACGGATTTTATTTTGTATATTAAATGAACTTTTTTTTTTAATTCTCCAGCTGCCCCACCACCTAAAGTGGACCCAGCAGGTGGTGCAGGAGGAGCAGGTGAGGGTAATCATAGTTTGTTGTAATTAATAGCACTGTAATAAGCAGAGCAAAGGCTGTTAAATGAGCCTTTCAAAATTAAATGTGATCATTTATCACCTTATATGACTTTATGACAATTAAAGGATTGTAATACCTTATTTAAAATAATTTGATAAAATTATGTTAATGTGTTCAACAGTGAAACCCAGTCTTAAACCTGTTAAGCCCACAGTCAAGGAACCAGCAAAGCCCAAGCCTAAACAAACAGGTGAGAGGCACTTAATTTATCTCAAATGCTTGTTCTGCTTGAGATGCACATAAAACAAATATCCCTACTAACCTTCTTCAGTAACAACTGGAGCTGTTAACATCTTTGAGTGCTAAAACATGTTTTGTGTCTTGTGTTATGATGAGTCAGCAGGAAATTTACACTGATAGAAAGCTCTTAGAGCTCATATATTTATCTAGGTCAAAAAACACTTGTGTATGGTGCAGTATAGGTTGGGGAGTAGCCTATTTTGAACGTTGAAGAATGTATACTGTAAAAGAAAAATCTCATGATTATCCTGTATTTTGGGTGCTTACTAATCAGACTTCATCATAGGTTTGAGTACCCAGCACCCTCTCTATGTCAAATGCTTTACAATACTAACGTATTAACTAACCTCCACTAACAGAAGAGACATTCACTGATTTGTTTGACGCCACCATTCGACCGGGCCTGTTGCCCCGAACACCCCCTAGTCCTCTCCGAACCTCTGTTCCCCCTCGGAAAGCCCAGTCTGGTTTGTATCGTGCTGTCAGTTTCCCTGTAGAACCGTTCATCGTGTTTGTGTCCGTGTTTTTTTGTCATGTAGATATGTGTATTCAAAGCAAGTTTTAAAGTGGGATGAAAGGCCAAAATGTTTAGATATATTGTTTAACAGTGTCCAGTTTTGACTGAGTCTGGTAATAAATGTGATCATTGTTTAGCATCATTTTACATAGAATGCTCTGAATGTTCTTCCATATTCAGACAAAACAGAAGGCACAGTCCCTAATAATACATTATTACTACAATGCATACCTTTCATACATTTCAGCAAATAAAAAACATGCTTTAGCTTGTACTCATGTGATGTAAATTATAATAGAATTATGGCAGCTAAAATAAGTCATGGCCACAAGCACAGATTTTCTGGTGGATGTCAACTTAACTCCTTCTATGAACTTCTCTAGCGTGTCTTACACCCCAATATCACAGCACACAATATGATCACATCCTTTACATTTGTCTTCATTGTCATCTTGTCTTGTGAGATTGTGTGGGTTGTATCTTCATTGCATAAAATCTGAAGCATTTAAAAGCTTTGTTTTGATTCACATCTCATATTACACAGAAACCATCTGTTTTTCATTGTCACTTAGCCATATTAAAATAACAGTTGGTACTGTGCATATTTCATTCGTTATAGTGAGTAATTATTTTGTCTGATAGATTTTGGGGACTTGGATCTTGAAGACGCCCTGAACCCCGACAATGATATCAGAGGAAAGGGCAAAGACTCTGGCAAAGGCGGTAGGTATTTTTCTGTTTACGTGCTTTTACCTTTCTCCATATTTTTATTTTATTTTTTGCAATTTAGTGGTTCAGTCAGACATCTTTAACAGGAATAATGTAACCTTCTGCAGAGCAGAATCCACGTCTGGATAAAACTAGCCCGCTAAACTGAGTTGTAATATAAGAACTCATTCTGATGAATGGTTTAGGCCAAAATAAACTGCTTCATCACAGCAGACTTTGTTCTACATTCTGAAGAGAAAAGGAAATTTTGAGCTGAAATAAAACTTCTCCACTCATGACACTGTTTCTCCAAAAGGAGATATGAAGGCACAAAAATAGTGCAGAAAAAAAGATGAAGGGCCCTCTGTTTCCTATCAAAATATCATATTGTGCATCATTATCCATTTTGTCAATGTTCTGTAAAAGTCTGTTTAAACTTGAAGGTAATCAAAGGCCTAGCCAAAAGAATCACACAATAAAGTCAATAATATCACCCTCACAGTCTATCACTGGCGAACTTAGGGTACTATGTTGCTAGTCATGGATTAACCCAAGCTAGCCAGGCTTGATGGCATCTCCTGTCTCTGCCAGATAAAGACCTCGGAGGAGGGGGCCGTGATGACGGCAAACCCAATAGCAGAGGTGGAACTGGTGGTAAGAAATATAGTAACCGCTTGGGAAACCCCTTCTACCACCCTCTTCCTCTCTTCATCTTCTTGGCTGGAAAAATCACCTTTTGTACCCACAAATTGAAACTGATCTCACCATTATTAAAATCTAATCGCTGTCTGATTTCAGGTCAAGGCTTTTTAGAACTGAAGCATTAACCTAGTGATCACCATGGCTCCTGACCTCTTGCATCTTGGCTTTGCATGGATTTTGGTTTAATCAATCAGATTGCTAGTTTCATTGCTTCCTCTAGATTGTATGCAGCAGTAGGGCTGGGTATTGATACAGATTTCATGAATCAATTCTAAATTACAAGTTTTTGATTAGATAACATTCAATTCCGATCTCAATTTAATTCAATATTTGTTAATTTAGAATTACTATATGTCAATACTTAAAATATAAGTATATATCAGTTTTTCTGAACGAAAAAAAAAACATTTTCTCTGAACTAATGCTGTGAATTATACAGGGAACCCTTTACATGGGTTTACAACATAGATTAAATTCAATTGCTATTTATTTTTTAGATAATAGTCAATACCAGAGAAATAAAAATAAAATAATCATAATTTTTCATTTGGTTTGAAAAAAACTTGAAAACATTGAAAAACGGATGTCTCTGCTTTCTAATGTGGTTGTTGATATCATTAAAACGGTGGCTTTTATCATGAAAACGTGTTTTCATGACAGATTTATTTAAATATCCATTACATAATTATGATATTTGGAATGTGTTAAGTAAAATATAATGAATATTAATATAGTACATATATTTATCAAAATGCTTCTCTTTAGAGCTGTTTCTTGCTAAATAACAAGTTACGGACATTAAATTACTTTCCTGAGGTAAATGTTAGGTGACATATTGTTTACAAGCTGTTTTACAGTACATCTTGAAACTCTGAGCAATTACTTGAGACATGATACATTTCAGTAAGTTGTACTGTGTCTTTCAACATACCTTTTGAAGTCAATTCGTATTCATTTAGCGCTATAACTTGTAGTAAAGTGGAAGAGATAATCGGTTCGCTCGCGCTCCTTACAGTAGCTGCATTGAACTGCAAGTTAAGAGTGTGTTAGACGAATGCGTTGCAAGGTAAACAAGAGAGTGCCATCTAGAGGAGAATACTGATAATAATAGGATTTACTTTAAAGGGGTCATATGATGTTGCTAAAAAGAACATTAACATTAACAGGTTTAAGGTTAAAAAAACACATTATTTTCCACATACTGTACATTATTGTTTCTTCTCTATGCCCCGCCTTTCTGAAACGCGTCGATTTTTACAAAGCTCATCGTTCTGAAAAGCGAGGTGTGCTGTGATTGGCCAGCTATCCAGTGCGTTGTGATTGGCCGAATACCTCAAGCGTGAGACAGAAATGTTATGCCCCTCACAAAGCGAGGTGTGCTGTGATTGGCCAGCTATCCAGTATGTTGTGATTGGCTGAATACCTCAAGCGTGTGACGGAAATGTTACGCCCCTTACCATACTGTGATGCCGTGTCCCGGAGCGACAAGACAAAACCAATACAACCCATTATAAACGAGGCATTTGTTGCATCCAGTGGGGACATAATTACGGATTATAATGACTTATACTGTCTAATCTTTTTACGCATTGCATCGCGCCGCGTAAACATAAAACCATGTCTGCATTTGTGATCGGAGAAATTACAAACAACAAGCGCTACTCTACACTGCTCAAAACGTAAAAAAATATAAAAAACTTACTTACAGCCTGTGAGTCAGAACAGCCGGCATTGTAGTCTACCAGGATCAGGAAACAGTCCTCCATAAAATGTGCTGCACACATCTGAATATTTGGGTTGAACTGTTCTGGAACAGTGTTGTAAATACAACTTAACCACTGATTTCTAGTCGTGTCCTATGGAAGCCCGTTTCCGCCACTGAATAAAAAATAAAGGTAATTGCGACTTTTTGTCTCACAATTCTGACTTTTTTTCGCAGAATTGTGAGATATAAACTCGCAATTGCGAGTTATAAAGTCAGAATTGCGATATAAAGTCACAATTGCGTGATATAAACTCGCAATTGCGAGTTAAAAAGTCATAATTGAGAGATATAAACTCGCAATTCTGAGAAATAAAGTCAGAACTGCGAGATATAAACTCACAATTCTGACTTTTTTTCTCGCAATTGCGAGTTTATATCTCACAATTCTGACTTTATT